ACTTATTCACAAGCCATTCCTTTTCCTCTGTAACATGATTAGATTGTTTTACAGGGCCTAATTATGGGCTCTGTTTGTGACACTTCCTTGCTGGTGCATGGGAAAGTCCCTGCCCCACCGATTTCAAAAGCAGGGTTGGCAGTGGGGTTATCCCACGCTGCCGTGGAAAAGCAATTTGGGAAAGAGTTGGGAACTGGCCTTCGATCTTATACAGCTCAAAGTCAGATCTGGTTTGTCTTCAGGATAAATGATATTATTGTCAATACAGGGTAAAGAGTTAGGATGAAGGAGGGCAGTCCTTCTCTGATGAGTGTGTGTTCCTGAGGGTGCTGCACATTCCTGAACATGGGTCCCGTGGGGATAAAGTGTTATTTGCTTCTCAGGATGGAGCATCCATGGGAAATCACCAGACCCAGAGGTCGGGGGCTCAGATGCTGCTGAGGGGTTACAAAGATGCTGTGACACATCACACGAAGAGTGACAATGGAACCCCTGGCTCACAACTTTATAATTTCCTTCAGGAGCAACTGAAGTTTCACAGCTGTGAAGCCAAATACCTTTTATTCTTCCTGTGGGGTGGGTTTGTCAGTCATCCAAACCTGACATGGACTGGAAAATTGCTTAACTCAGGACATGAAACATTCTCTGTCCTGCAGCATCTGTGCAGCTTTTGTGGAGGGCAAGCCTTGCAGCCTGCTGCAGCTCTTTGGCTCTTTCTACTTCTTCTGGTATTGAAGATATTTTGGGGACAGCCCTGATGACTCAATAAAATGAAGGCTGAGTCTGCTCTGTTTCATAGTGTCACCATTAAACAAGGTGTGGGAGGTGAGAGGCAATACCCAGCACTGAGTCTGGTCTATTAATTGGATGTTTTAAAGTCACCAATGTGTTTTGCTGGGTTATTAGTGACACCTGTTGAAAAGAAAAGGCAGGGAAGTGAGTGGGGGTCCCATATGGTGGGAAGGAATGTCAGAGCTGGGGCATTGCTGGGCTCTGACAACAGGGGAAGTTCTCCTCCTTGGGAAGGGGACTTGGGGGACACCATGCTCCCCAAGTGCCACAGCTTCACTGGGGAAGAGTTTCACCCACCTGGGTCTTGTTTTTCCCTCCTGGGCCGATGCAAATATTTTGTGCCTGAGTTCCCTTCCACGCCCTACCTAAGGGGACTGTCAGGTTCAAGTCACCGCGCCCCACATGGAGCAGGCACAGAAGCACCTCCTTCCCGAGCAGGATTTGAATAAGCAGGTGAGAGCTTCGGCCTCCCCATGAGGGTGTTTGATAATTGACCAGGCGCTCGCTGCTGCGGGTGCCCAGCGCAGCTCCGGCCCAGCACACAGCCCTGCTGCCAGCATGCCTGCCCGCTGCCTGCTGCTCCTGGGGCTGCTGCTCCAGCTGCCAGCTGCCTTCTGCCAGGAAGGTAAGAGCTGCCTGACATCCCGGGAAATCGAGGCAGGGAAAGGCAGGAAGGTGCGCCCAGCCCCGGCCAGGTGGGAGCTGTCTGTGGGGGACAAGGGACAAACATGCAAGAGCCTCTTGGGAAGGGGAAAATCGCCCCAGCTCCTGCCTGAGCTCAGCTCTGCCTTCACATCAGCATGGCTGGGTGTCCAGGGGGTTCGGGGGTTTTGCTGGAGACGGGATATAGAGATTTTCTACCTGTTTTGCTGAAGGCTGAAACTGCCACCTGAGGTTTATCTGAGCTGCTTGCACAGAGATAAACTGCTCTGGTTTACCTCTGGCAGGACTGTGCACCGAGATGAGTAATCTGTTTCCTTAAGGCTTTTTTTTTCTTTCTTTCTTTTTTCTCACTCTTATCCTTGAGCAAGTGTTGTTCTGGGTTGCTCCCTGAGCTCTCGGATCCTCCTGTTAATCTGTAATTTTGATCATTGCTGAGGAGAGGGAGCAAATATTTTCCTCAGCAAATTGACCTCCCCTTCTCTTCCCAAGAATTTAACAGAGAAACTTCCTATGCTAGGGTATTATTTTTAGGAAATTCACTAAGGGTTTCTCTAGTGCTAGAAATAATGAGGAAAAATTAAAACTCATCTGGTTCTGCCAAAGTCCCAGAAAGTTCCCTCCCCCTTTCTCCTCCTGATGCCCCAGCCCTGACCGCTCTTCCTGTGTTTGTTTACCAACTTGCTGAGGATTTAACAGTCTGGAGTGTCCATTGTCAGCAGGGTTGAATGTTTTGCTTGGAAATAATTAAAAAAAAAAAAAATCCTTTAATGAGGATTCAGAGCCTGGCACAGCTTCCTCAGAGAGCAGAAAAGACAGGCCAGGCAAAGCTTTCCAAACACTCAGAGAAGATGTATTAAAAAGCAGGTCTGTGTCTTCAAATTAGCTGTTGAGTATGAAAATAGAATTGCAACAAGTGCCCAGGCTCATTCTGGCACCGGCACTTCCCTTGGTCTGGTTTGTACCTGCAGCTGTGTGGGGACACATCTGCCAGGGCTGCAGATTCCACACTGCTTAGTTTGGCTTCAGAAATCTTCTTTGTGGGGGAAAACCCCATCAATTACTATGGGGCAACACAGAGAGGAGGTGGCAGAGCCTGAGGGATGGGCTGACCCAGGACAGGCATCCCCAGTGAAGCATTTTCCAGGAACACAGTCCTGTTTCCACAGGTGAGACTCATCCTTTCAGCCATCCCTCCTGGCAGGGCAGCAAGGTGTGCTCGTGGGACTGCAGCCAGGCAGTGCCCCGAGGGCTGGGACCCAAACATTTACTCCTGAATAGATCCTATCAAGCTCTTGCTTCTGCCTGATCCCCATTCCTCCTTTCTTATGCCTGTGCAACTTTCCCAGCGGGTATTTCAGCCCAGTGCAGAGGCATTTGCCATTCCTTTACCATCCTTATCTCCCCCTGCAGCCAGGCCCTCCATGATCTCTGGAAGCCAGAAACCATTGATTTTGGTTTGGTGTTTTCCCTTTTGGCTTTGGATGCTTCGGAATCTGCTGGAAACAGCCACAGCAGTGAGATTTCTCTCACAAAAACACCCAATAACCCCTGAGCATGCTTGGTCCAAGGAGGTTTGCTACCACTTTTCTTTCCCGCTCCTTTCCTGGAAGATCACGAGATGGAAATTTGGCAGTTTAAGTCATTGCTGACTTCATTCCTTGGTTGCCCTTGAACTCCCTTAACCCCAGCAGGAGCCTCACGAAGGGCTGGACCTGACCACCCCCCAGGCTTAGGCTGGAAACCTCGAGTCTGGCAGGAAAAATAAACTACAACTAATAAATAAATGTGGCCAACAGCCAAGGGTGGGGGGAGGGAGGATGCAGAGCGAGCCAAAATTCAGCCAGGAGGCAATAGATGTGTTTGGGGCTGCACTCACAGGGGTGGTGGGCAGCCGGGGAGGAGCATCCTTGACCACCAGGCAGGGCAGGAGGGCACCAACCCCTGCTCTTCCCCACTGCCACCACCCCTGGCTGCCCCCAGCAGCAGCCTGCTGCTACAATGGTACATCAGTCGAAACACGCTGATGCAAGAGGGAATTTCCTGAATTCCTCCTGCTTGAATTGCTGCCCTGGGACCTTGCAGAAGCACGACAAATGTCTCTGTGGGAAGAGGGGGCTGAGAGATGCTACTCAGGGCTGTTCTCACAGCCCCTTGCCCAGGACTTGCTTTCCAGACTGGCAGTGCTGGTGAGTCAGCTGGCCAGGCTGATTTCACTTCCAAGATGAAGAAAATAACTCTGTTTTGGGGTTTGAGGCTTTGCTGTTGTTTTATTTATTATTTTTTATTTAAAAGTATCTTGTGGTAAAGACTCCAGGAGCTGGGGATGCTGCAAAATATCCCAAAATCAGGAGCAGGAGAGCTGTTAGCAGCAGAGGCAGTGTGAAGCTGGATGTGGGTTAGGAGTTGGCATGTGTGGAGCATGCAGCCTTTTCTTACTACTGCTAGTAAAGATTGTTTTCTGTTTATAGCAGAGGCTTGTCTCCCGTGGGACAGAGGAAGTGCTCAGTGTAAATGTCTGAGGGAGGCTGCAGTATCCATCCACTGCTCGTCCTGGGGCAGCTCAGCCTTGCAGGTGTCCCTGGCTGGCTCTGAGTGTCCTGAGGCTGATGCTGGGGCAGGTGTCACCCTCTGCCTGCCCCTGCTGCCCGTGCAGAGGGACCAGGTTATGTGCAAGGCTCTGTGTTAGAGCAGCAGATGAGGAAAAGCTGCCTCTGAGTAAACAGCAATTAAATCTCAAAGAGATGCGGCTGTATGGACAAGGTGTCCTTTAGTGCTGATGCGATGGCACTTAAGGATGGGTTTGCCTGCTCTGAATGCTCCATTGTCCAAAATCCAGTGGGAGGCAAGGAGCAGCCATCCCAGCAAGGGCTGGGACAAAGTTTCCTCTTCTCACCGCCTGCCCTTGCATCCTGCCCACATCCAGGAATGTGTCTCTCAGCCTTCCCACCCGTGGCTGGATTCCTGCCTAGGTCTAGATAGAGAAAAAGGAACTTGTTGGTCTGTTCCATCCCTGGGGGAAATGGGGCTATCCCAGCCAGCTCCCAGACCCCACTCTCCACCCCAATGCTGCTTGGGCCCCTGCCAGCCCCATCTGTTCTTTGTGCTGAGGTTATTCCTCTGAATGCCTCAGCCTTCAATTTCTGTCGTAAATCATTTGCTGCTCTGGAAACCTGTTGGATGGTGCATTTTACCAAAATCCACAACAACAACTTTTTGCTGTGGGAGTGGCTACCAAATCTTACTGTCGCCCTGTTGCAGAGTCCTTATTTTACCAGTCAGTATTTAGAAAATATAAAATATCCCAGGAATTATGTCTGTGGCATCTGGGGACAGAGAATAAGCAGTTTGCTTAAACCCCTCTGCCTTCTTTCCTTTGACAAACACTCTCCTTCACTCCCTTCCTCCATATCCCCCAGGCTTTTTCTCCCCCATCACAGAGTCACCAGCCCCACAAGGTGCTTGTTTATGTGTCTGTATGTGTATGTCAGTGTATATGGGGCCCCAAAGCTGCCAGGCACTACACTCCACATGCAAACACCAGTGCAAACGCTGTTAATTGTATTTTATTTCATTGCTATCACCAGGTAAGCCTGCCTGAATCGACAGCAACATGTTCTGCTCCGATTTGCAGGATCAAGCTCTCATCTGGACCTTGCTGAAGCTGGATGGGAGGAGCTTGGCAGATAAAGCCTGAGGACGAATTTCTAACCCGTGTCCTCTTCTCTCCCTGCAGCCCGGGGCAGCCTCCAGCCGTGGTCACAGGGTGTCATCGCAGTGGTTGTGTTCCTAGTCCTGGTGGCCATCGCCTTCGTGGTCAACAGGTTCTGGTGTAAGGACAAAGTGTAAGTGTGGCAGGTTGCTCTGAGTTGGGCTTAGCTTGGCACGTGCCACTTCCAGCAGCCTCTGTGCGTGTTCCAGGATTTGGAACACTGTGCTTGCTGTGCTGGGAGAGCAAAGACTCCCTGTCCTCATCTCCCTGTCCTTTTGTCCCTGTCCTGGTCTCTGATCCCTGTTACTGATTGCCAGGTGTGAGCTTGCACCATACAAATTCTGCCACCAGTAAGGAAAGCTCTGTGCTGGGAATGACAAAGCCATGGCATCGCAGCTGGATCATGTGGGAACGTGTTCAGGGGCCTGGCCCAGCCGGGTTTTCTGTGGCTTTTGGGGGTGCAGTTCCCAAGTGCCTTATATCCATGGGATAATAAGCCTGAACCAGCTTTTTTTGCAAAGCAGACAGGGCCATGTTGTGAGAGCACACTGAGAGGAGCTGGGAGAAAAGGGAGGTAGTGGCAGTGGCAGTACCCTCCACCTGGAGCCCACGGCACAGGCAAATGTGGTGTCCTTATTCATCTGAAAAAGGCTCTGTGGGATGGGTTTAACTCTTGCCTGATTCTGGCCAAGCAGAGTCACAGGCTGCTGCTCCTGCTCAGCTGAGCAAGGCCAGCTGGCTGAGTTGCAGCAACTTGATCTTGCACCGAGCCCAAAGGCCACAGGGGATGAAGACCAAAAGCACCCCACATCTGTTTTTGCACTGGTGGTGTTGCTTTGGGCTGGAGTCTTGTTGTAGCTGTACATTCCTGCAGCCTCTCCAGGCTGGGGAGGTGGGCAGCTGGTTCACACTCTGAGGATCAGCAGGTCAGCTTTACCCCAGAGTCATTTTTAGCTGGTCCCTTTGGGATGCATTCTGGGCTGATGCATATGTATATATATATTTATATGGTCTGACTTGCCACTGTAGTCTTTGTTTCCCAAAGAGGAACCTTTGTCTCAAACAGAGGGAACCCCCAGCCCATGGAGTGGCAGGCAGGGATGGTGTTTCCCACCCCGTGCCTGGCTGCCTTTTCCCAGCCTGGAGGCAGAGGATGCTGAGGAGGGCTTGAGGAGGGATGGTGCCTTGTTTTAATTAATCTGGCCTTCCTTCAGAAGAGCGTGAGCGAGGCTCGGCAGCCTGGAGCCCTGCCAGCTCTGCGCTGTCGCTGTGACAGCAGCTATCAGCTCCAGCCACTGCCTGTTTATGCCAGGCTGTTCCTTGGAGAAGCCTCTGAAATTGCCCTTGGGCAAGCTCTGGGGGAGGCAGGGATGTGCATGCAGGGTGGACCTGCACCCACCCTCTGCTGCTAAATCCCCCGGTGCTGCTCAGGCTACAGGCTCACTCCAGAGCTGACCTTTTGGAATCTGGCTCCAGGCACTCCATCCCTGCCCAGTGGCTCCTTCTGCAAGTGATCCAGGCTCACTTCTGAGAGAGAGCAGCTCATCTTTGCTGACATGGATGTGCACAAGGACAGCCCTCCTGTGCCAGGGCTGAGGCAACAGTGGAGCCTTGACTGCTCTCTCTGTGTCCACCAGGACCCACAGGGGACTGTTTTGCAACAGATTACACAGAAGTGGACTGGAAAAACCAGTTAGTGGGAGAAAACCATCCCAGGTATTGACAGTGATTCCTGCTGAGTGCCAGCACGGTGCTGGGAGTCACCGCTATGGAGACAAGGGTTGGCACTTGGCACAGCCTCTGCAGACCTGCAGTGAGGGCGTCTCTCCTTGTCCTTGTCCTGCTGGGAAGGAGGCTGAGCAGGGTGTCCGAGGGCAGAATCACACCCAGGTCATTTATTGTCTCTGTGGTGTCATCACCAGTAAGAAGCTGCTCCCCTGCACGGCTGCTTTGCTGCTCTGTCCAAACTCCTCCCTTTTCTCCCTGCAGGGAAAATGCTGAGAACGTGGTGAGTGTGGAGGACAAGCCAGATGCTGTCACATCCAACGGCCATGAAGGGAGATACGTATCAGCTGCAGCTGACTTCAGGTGAAGGACCTGCTCAGACTCCTTCCCCATGGCTCCCAGGCTCTGCTCTGCTCCCCTGGGGACAGCTCAGACGTGCAGAGCCGTGGTCTCAGCCACTCAAGGTCTTACATGTCCCATGCACCTGTTTTTGGGGCTTTTAACCTTCCCAGGGGCTAAGGCAGTGGGGGAGTATCCCCTTCTCCCTCATCTCTCCCTATCTGTGCAGCTGAGCCCCACAACCCATCCACCCCCTCACAACCTTCTACGCCACATTTTTCTTATGCTACATCACAATTTTCCAACAGAGGAAACCACCAAAAGTACCACAAGTCACCACGCAGACGGTGACAGACAAAACAGCCCTCACTAACAATTAGAGCAATTCCCAGCCCACGCTTGGCTCTGGTCCTTTCAGGGTGACTCCTCCTGTGGTCCCCATCTCGCCCCTCACTCAGAGCACAGCTGGCACCAGCAAGGTCAGGACGCCAGTGGTGGCTTTGGGAATGCTGGCCTTGCTGGGACTGAGCTCAGCATTGTCCCTCTTGGTGCAGGTCCAAAGAGAACGAGCACGCCTACGAGAACACCGTGGAGCCCGAGGAGAAGGTGATCACCACGGCCATGTAGCAGCACCCACCTGCCGCCCTCCTCCTGCCACAGGGACCCTCTGCACTGGCACCCCCTGGGAGTGATGGGGCCCTGGCCTCTCCACGGCACCACCACCTCCTGATCTCCTTTTCCACCCGTGGGACATGCTCTTGTCCCTCTGGGGCTGGTGTCCATATGGGCATTGGTCCCCAGGAGAGGTCTGGAGGTGCCACTCTCCTGCCTGGTGGTCACCCCGGCGAGGTTGTTGTCCCAAGTCCCAGGAGGGTGTTGATCTGTTCAAGACACAGAGGGGATCCTGCTGGGTGCCTGGGACATCCCCACACTCCCAGCCGCCCTCGGGGAGCTGCTGATGGAAAACCTGCTCTTTTCTCCCCAGTTCACCCTCCTTTTTATGACCTACACCATTCATTTGAACGTCAGAACCGATGAAATTTTAATGTCAAACCTCCCCCGCTGTACATATCTTCCCGGTGAGCAATAAAGAGAATTGTTGCCTATGACAGAAAAGAGGGTCGTTCTGCTAATCAGCCAAAGAACTTTCTGGCATCTCACAGCTCTCCCAGCCTTAGGCAGTTGGGAGAATGAAGGACATCAGGGAATGCTCAGCATTTGAACTGCCCCAGAGCCTCAAAGAGATTTACAGGGAAGTGAGAGCATCATTCCTCCATTTGCCAGGTGAAGTTACAGAGCTACAGAAACAATCCAGCACTTCTCAGTGCTGCTTAATGGGTGAAAGGCAGCACTCCCTGAACCCCACTGACCCCAATGTGCAGCCCCACAGCCAACTGGGAGCCATTCCCAGGGCTGGAGGCTCTCATCAATGGCAGTCATTGATCAGTGCTGCCAGGAAGTGGCATGGGGACGGCTCTGGGCAGTGCTGGCTGTCCTGGGGCAGCTGGACATAGGGCAACCAGCCCCTGCCAGGCTGCCCATTAACCAGGGTCTGTCTTTTGCTGTGGTGGGGACAGTGCCAGGACCACCATGGGAACAACGAGCTGCTGTTCTAAGCTGTGGCATTTGTAGATTGAAATGAGAGACCTCTGAAGCTTTGGCCATTCCTGGAACATGAGTTACTCCAGCAGCATGAAGGGTCCCCTTCCTGACCAGTGAAGAAAGGATTAAAGGACTCTGTAACCAAGGGCAGCCCAGCTGGAGCAGCACTGGGGTGGGAGATTTATAAGAGGACACTTTTGGCAGCTCCTGGATTTGGGGGGAGTGAGGTGTTTCTAGGGCTCTGCTGTGCACTACCCACAGCTGAAGCTGCTGATGTCCCTCGCAAGTGGAGACACAAAAATTCAGGCAGTTGTCTTCCAGTAACAGACCCACCTCAAAAGGCATTTTCCCTAGAGCCTGGGGTAGTCAGTATTTTGAAAATGTCCTCAAAGACTTGGCATTGAGAAATCACAGCTCCCGTTGAGAAATTGCATGGGAGTAGAAGAAAACAGGCAGAAGGGTAAGAGAGGTCAAACTCTCAGATGTGAAGGCAGGATGGCTGCATCTCCAGCATCATGTCAGAGCTGTTGCCATCTACCACTCTCCCTTGGGTAGCTGGAGGCTACCAGGCTGGGTCCTGCAGCACCCCACTTGTGCCCCTGATGGATGCTGCTCCCCTGACTTTCCTCTCACAGGTGCCAAATGTCCCATGGGTTTGGAAAAACCAGGTTCCCCAAGGTTCAGTGGCACTGCTGCAACTCAGCAGGGTTTAAGGATTAGTCATTGCCTGTTCCTGCCCTGTCAGCACTTGGGCTGGGGGTGTGGCGAGAGGAAGGGAACCCATTAATTTTTTACCTCTCAGTTGCAAAAGAAGTTAACAATGTCACCCTTATAATGAGTAACAACAGGAGTTCATTCCCTGCCCTGTGCACACAGTGAATGTGTGACAGACGCCCGAGCTCTTCGCCCCTCAGTGCCTGGATGTGGCTTTGGAGTGCAGGAGTGCTCAGTGGGTCTCAGTGTCCCTTTCCCCATGGATCCCTGCCGTGTTGTATGTCTGAGCAAGGACAAGGCTTCACTTCTGGGCTTGCCCAGGAGCTGCTGTGCTTGATCTTATGACAACCAGCGTCCCTTTGGAGTTCACTTCCCTGGGGAAAGTGCCTTGTGCAGGAGCCAGCGCTGTGTCCTAGCAGGATCTCACCTCTGCACTGTCCAGGGTGCTGTCCTGCCTCAGTTTCTCTTGCCTGTGAAGCACAAGCCGAGGCTGGCTGAAGCTGCCTTCCTGCAAGCTGTGCAGTCACTTGCAGATGCTTCTCGGTGTGATCCTAAAAAGAACAAAAGGGAGCGAGCGTAAATGAAATTTATTGTTGGAAAATCTTAATTAGATTTTAAGCCCCAAAGGGAGAAAAGTGAGGTATTATCTGACACAGCTAATGAGTGTTAAGGGTCCATTGTTATATTTCTTGTTTACCTTTCTGTACTGGCTGATACAGCCCAGATCCTCGTCTGTACTGCCGTAATTAGGATATCTCATCTCTTGCTGATAGGGTCGGGATGCTCTTTAAAGCACAATGCTGTCTCATCCCTCCCTGGCAGGATGAGCGTGATTGGGAAGACAACTTCTGGAGTGCCAGTGCTTGTGCCTTCCACACTGCACCATGAGCTGGGGAATGTCCTCCAGAGTCCGGGCTGTACCTGAGACCCCCGGGTGCGAGGCACCTCCCACCTCAGTGACCTCTCTGAAGGGCCCAAAGCCAACTCGCCTGAGGGCCAAATCCTCCCCAACACCTCTCTCCACACAGCACAGGGGGATGAAGGTCCTTCACAAGCCTCCCCAAGCCCACCAGTGAAAGGTAAGGATACCACGAGTTCTCATCCTACCCCCCACTCCTTAATGCCATTATCTCTGAAGCCTTGGGCTTCAGGAAGATGTCCAGGGTTGTGTTCTGCTGCAGACAGGGTAGTCTCCTTTGGGGCAGAAGATATTCAGGGTGGGGTTTTTTTGCATCCCCAGTTTGTTAGCAGGTGTATCATGACTTTTCTTTGTGACCTAGGAGGGTGCAGTCCATCTCTTGGAGCCCCAGATAATGAAATACCTTGTTGAAAGCCGCCTTTGCTGCTTCCCTGATCTCTCCTGAGGCTCTTTAGCTCTGAAGGTTTGAGATGTTTCTGTTCCAGGAGCAGTTTGGGCAGGTGGACACCTATGATATAAATTATCCCAACATAGCTTAATTACAGATTTGCTGTATTCAGGTAAAATGCTGCTGGAAGCAGCACCAGCTCTATCCCTCCACCTGAGCAAACCTGGGGTTTACATCCTGGAATTGGGCACCTTGACACACAGGAGGTGTGATTTGGATCTCCAGAGGAAAAAAGGGAGCCTGTCCCACCCCTGTGGTTCTTTGGGTGGGGAAGGAGCCCAGCCACCCAGGTAGAAGCCAGGAGCATGGCATGGAGGGGTGGCTGTGTGTGGGCAAGGGGGCTGCAAAGTTTTTGGTCTCGATTCAAGCCACTGAAAGCCAGGAGAAAAATACCATCTATTGTTGGTTTATACACCCGTAGTAGCCAAACAAACATCCCCGGAGCCTGTCCTTATCACTTTATTACACCTGCTAGAGTGAATAGATTAAAGAGAATGGGGGAGGGGGGAGAAAGCTGAAGAATCCAGCAGAAAAACTGGGTTTTGGGATTGTTAATTATTCTCTGGGGTCTCTAATCTTTAACTGGCAAACAGCATCACTAACTGTCTTAAAGCCCCTCCTGGAACATCCTGATAATAAGCCATCTGCATGAAGGCACCCCGTTATCTGCCCTCCTCCAGCCGCCTGTGACATGGCTGGAGTGGGAGATAATGAATGTGTGGTGTGTAATAACGACACGTCATTCATGATTATCGGCCTGATACCCAACCTTTTAGCTCCATTGTTTGTGCTTCGAAAAGAAAAAAAAAAAAAAAAAAAGGAAAAGAAAAAGAGAAAATAAAAAGGAGAAGGGATAAAAGGAAAAGGGAAATTTTTGGTGCTATGGGTTGTCCCGGGGTCCCCGAGGTGTCTCCGTGCCAAAGGGGCTGGCTCTCGCAGCATCTCCCAGAGGGTTTGTTGGTGGATTGGCGGCTGCTGTAGCCATGGTGATGGAGGAGCGAGCTGAGACAGCGCAGAAATGTCACAGCCTGGCAGGAGATATTTGGGGCAAAGGCGGGCGATTAGATCTGTGTCACTGCCTGCTGCCCGCTCCTCGCACGGCTCCTCCGCTGCTCTCCCGGCCCTTTGGCGGTGGCTTGGCACAGGAGGTTATCTTGTACAAGCTGCTGTCCAGAACCTGCCACCGTTTGAAGGTGGGCGGGTGTTTGTGCTGCTCAGTTTGACCTGGCTAAGCTGAAAAGTGGAAGAATTTTCTCCTGGTTGCTGCTGCATTAGGGCTTCACGGAGCATCGGTGCTGCAACACTTCCCTCCAAAGCTTTGGCCCTTCAAACTGCAAACCTGGTTTAAGCATGATTTTTAACAGGAAGAGATTTTGAAGTGTTTGGCTCTGCTTGCCTCAATTACTGTCATAGCTGCCTGGAATAACGATCTATTATTTGCATCAAAAATGTCAGCAGTTTCTCCTCTCTTTCCCAAGCAGATTACCAAAAGCAGCTTCCCTGGAGAAAGTCTCTGCTGGAAGTGGTTGGGGTTTGGCCATTCAAAACTATCTAGCAATCCGAAGGACACTTGGATACCAATGGGCAGCTTTGGTCATGGCAGTGAATAGGGTGATGGTCCCAAAGCACAGGGCACTGTACAGTCCATGGGGTGGGCAGCAGCTGGGGGTCCTAATCCCCCATTCCAAACCAGAAGATGCTGTAGCAACACCTTTAAGTGTCACCAGGTTATTTTGGAACCCACCCCCAAGGAGACTGGGATGGGTCTTTGTGGCCAAGGGCACCCAAAGCTTGTTTCTTGGACCACCTGCTGGAGAGTAGATGAGCAGAGCTTCAAGGTGGCTTGCCTCTTCCCAGATGGGTGGCTGAAGTGTCTGACAAATAGGATTTTTCAGTAATAAAAAGGTGTTTTTAAACCACTGCCCTCTGAAGGCCTCGCTGTGCTGGAGCTGGGGACGAGGGCAGTGGGAGCATGACCTTTCAGACCTGAGTCCACCTGGTGCCAGGGTGGTGGCACTGGCATCTGCACAACCTGCCCCCAGCCTCCTTCTGGGGGTGAGAAGGGAGGGTTGGGAGAAGAGGAACTTGGTATCCAGCTGCTTGCAAAACAAACACAAACTGCACTTTGCTGGCTGATCTCAGCATCCCTGTCCCTTTTGGTACCCCCATAGACCAGAACAAAGGTCTGGATCCAGCCTGAGGAGAATTTTGTTTCTCAAACTGAGGATGCAGCAGAGATGGGGAGCAGGAGGGCAGCAGGAGTTCAGTAGATGGGGAGATGCTCAGATTTATCTGTTGTGATCTGGCCATCAGCAGAGAGCTGCTCAGGCAAACAGACAGGCAGACAGGCATGGTTTGGGTATGTTGGTGCCTGCAGTGATTCTGGTGATGCCAGTGCTGTGGGTGAAAGCTGCACAGCCTTGTCTGTCACCGTGGCATGGCACATATGCAGGCATTGGTGCCTTAGTTTCCCCTGACCCCTGCTGGGGTCCCGGGTCCTCGCAGTGACAAACTTCCCCTGGGCTTTGGGCAATGCCACAGACACACAGGGCACTCTGACAGAGTGGCTGCTCTGCTGGGGTGGGGACAGGGATGTCCCCAGGGACAGGACATGCCATCTGCCTTGCTGGGCTGGCCGTGCCTGCCAAGCCCGGGGGTTTCACAGGGGCCAGGGAGGACTTTTTCTGGGTCTCCCACTGCCACCTACTGATCCATTTCACACCCTGACCCGAAGCTCATCCAGATGGTCCACCTGGACTGGTGCTGGAGAAAAGCTCCCTCTACCCCCACAACAAGCCCAGTTCCAGGGCCAGTGCTCACCTGCACCCCTTGGGCAGGCCACCCTTGAACTGTTCTCAGCCTCTGCAGGACAGGGTTTGAGGCAGACTCACGTCTCCTCTTGTTTTATTTTGCAAGCTGACTTTGTTCTTACCGCCAGCACTTTTGTGTGTGCGGTGTGTATTTGTGTTTTGCTTTGTTTGACCACAGATGACTTCAGTTTTTTCCTTACCACTGAAACTCCTGGAGTCAAAGGTGAGGTGATGGATGCTGTGGGATCTGTGGCAACAGGCTCAACAGGGTGCATGGAAACAGTGCTTGTGGCTGGAGAAAACACTGACAGCGCGGCACCCTTGGGTGCAGCCTTGCCTCTGGCCTGCTGGGGCTCCTCTTGTGCCCTGCTGGGTCACCAAACAAAGGAAGCCAAAGTCACGCTTGGAGATCATCCCTACAAAGCTTTATTTTCATTTCAGAGAGGAGAACAATGCTGATCACGTGCTGTTGCCAGTGTGGCAACTGCTTCCTCAGGTTAGCTGGTGGCATTTTCTGTGCTGGCTCCTGAGCGCCCTCAGCTCAAGGAAGTTCAGAGCTGGGGCAGAAAAGAACCACAAGCATTCATCTCCATAATGGTGGGCACAGTGCCAGCCCCAGAACAGGAATCGTTGGGAGGGTGGGGCAGGGGGAGGCAGGGAGAGGCCTCTGGCCCGGCACACCCAGGCTGGAGGCAGGGCAGGGCCTCTGTGCCCAGCCTTTCGGCATCCCTGCAAACCATGCTGGGTGTTGTTCACTGCCAAGCCCAAGTGGGAACTGAGAGTGGGACAAATCTACAGGCAGGTGACAGAAGTCCTGCCAGGGAGTGTCTGAGGGCAGGTTGGGGATGTGGAGATGAGCAGGACATGGAGGATGCCCATGGAGATGAAGAATGAGCCACAGCGATGCTGTGGAACCCCCTTAGCAGTGCTGCTCCCCGTGCAAGCAGGGGAACTGAACCGGCTAGGTTTGGTGTTTGTGAGCTCAGCAAGCCCCTCTGGACAGCAGTAGTACAGGGGTTAGTATGGGAGAGGTCCACTGTGGGTCTGTTTGGTGATCCCCTCTTAAACCTCTGGGTGGAGGGTGTCCCTTGGGAGAGCTCTTGCCCCCCTGCCATGGTACCGCGAGGGATCAGAAAATCTTCTTCAAATGCAGGTGTATCCCGTTGCTGGACCTAAGGATGATCTGTGATATCATTATGGGAAGCTTGGATGGGTCCGGGCAGAGCTCGAAGCGCTGCAGGGTCAAGGCCAGCGCCACTTTAATCTCATTCATGGCAAACTGCAGCCCAATGCAGTTCCTGTGGAGAGGGTGACAAGTGCTCTGATTGCTGCCTTCGACCCCAGCCACCCCCGAGCTGGACTCACCCCATGTGAGAGCTGGGGGACCTCCAGCTGCTGCGAGGATGACACCACAGCTTATCAAGTAAGCCCCTGATACACCCAGCTCTGTGGTGGGGTATTGCTATTCATTTTATTATTAAACATTGCAAAAAAGAGATGAGATTGAGAGAACAGGGGCTTACTTCACTAGGAAGTGCAGCCAGGAGCCAGCTAAAAGCCCAGACAGCTCCAAAGGTTATTTCTGGCTCCATGTGGTGATCCTCTTACAAGCTACTGAGACCTCAGTATCCTACATCTTTCTATTGATACAGGATGGGACCCATGGAGACTTGGCCCCCTTGGCTTTGAGGTGCACTGGGACTCACCCCTAAACAAGGGGGTAGTGCTCCCAACACAGGCAACAGAAAATGTAAACATTTCCACAAAGCTGCAAGAAAAATGTGTGAAATCCTACAGTGACCACAGAGCTGATGGAGCATGGAAATCCTGTTACAGGAGATGCTGTAATAGGAGATCCTGTTATGGAAAGCCTGTTTGAGTTGGCCAAGCCAGCTTGGCTTGTGAAGACTGAGGGAGGATTAGCCTTAGGAGCTCACATCTGAGCTAGGTCTCACATGCAAGGCAGCCTGATAGGAAGGAGAGGGATGAAAGATCTCCCACCTGGATCCAGCAGAGAAAGGCAGAAAAGCATGGGAGTGCCTCTGTGCTGAGTTCTCTGGAGAAAACCTTAGGGGATCATAAATCTGTGGGAGCAACAAAGAGCATTTGGTCAGTGTTTGGTGTCATCTGAGCAGCACCAGGTTCTTCCCTGGTCCCCAGGTTAGGGCTGGATGTGGCCTCTGCTCTTCCTGGGGAGCTGCAGATGACAGTCATCTCTCTACAGAGCCACCGAGTGGATCTTCCCCTTGGACACACCCAGGTCGCTCGCTACAATGCCCAAGATGCCTGCAGGTGATTCCTTATCCATGGCAGCAAGGATCAAGCCAGGATCCCTCCATTCCAGAGATGCCTGATCCTTGCTCTCCAGACAGCCACCAGAGAGAGGCAGCTATGCAGCCTTCTTCAAATTTTCCAGTTATTTCTTGAAACCTCTAAAATATCATCTCCAATTCACACACTCTCTTGTGGGGCTTCTTCTAAAATTCTAAGTGTGTGCAGGGCAGCTGAAAGCAGTCAGAACATCTTTGTGTCACCAAGCACAAAGAGAGACTACTGAACATCCTTTCCCAGCTCTTTGTCATGTTTAAAGCCTCTGGGGTGTTTGAACTTTGTATTTAGATGTGGACTGTTGGAATGACAAGGGATAAAAAAACATAGCAGGGAGCACAGGCTGCCTTCTTCTAGGGGAATGGATGTCTGGGCTCAGAGCCCATCCTCTCTTTCTTGTTATCAAGGTGAAATACCTCAGGGTTCTCCCACACATCCCGGTTCCTGTGAATAGCAAATATATTCACTCCAACCTGGCAGCCTGTAAAAAAGTGAGAAAAAGTTCATGACAGCTCAGAGTGAAAATGCAGGAGAGGTGTTTTTGGGACACCCTGGTCTCTGCAGGGCTGTTGGAGGAGATCTGGCAGGGATCTCCTGAAAACACCACACGTCAAAAGCAAAGACCTCAGAGCTGGGTCCCTTTTTGTCTACCAGTGTATCATTTTCATTTGGCCAGGAACAACACTC